GTACGTGTGTGTAGGCGTGTGTAGGTGTGTGTAGGTGTGTGTAGGTGTGTGTGTGTAGGTGTAGGTGTATCTGTAGGTGTAGGTGTAGGGGTAGGTGTAGGCGTAGGTGTGTGTGTGTGTGTTTGCGTGTTTGCGCTTGTGCGTGTCTGTGTGTGCGCGTGATCGTTTGCGCGTGCGCATGTGTGTGTGTGTGCGCGTGCGCGCGTGTTCACATGTGCGCATGCACGCACGTGGGCGCCTGTGTGTGCGCGTGTGCGCGTGGGCGTGCGTGCGCGCATGTGCGTTTGTGCGGCTGTGCGGGTGTGCGCGTGTGCGCGTGTGTGAGCGCGTGTGCGTGTGCGCGTGCGTGAGTGCGTTTGCGTGTGCGAGTGCGAGTGCGGGTGCGAGTGCGGGTGCGGGCGTGCGGGCGTGCGTGGATGGGTGGGTGCGTGTGTGTGTGTGTGTGTGTGTGTGTGTGTGTGTGTGCGTCGGTGTGTCTGTGTGTCTGTGTGTGTGCGCGCGTGCGTGCATGCGTGCGTGCGTGCGTGTGTGTGTGTGTGTGGGTGGGGGTGTGGGTGTGGCTGCGTGGGCGGTGTGTGTGTGTGTGTGTTTCTGTGTGGGCGTGCGCATGCGTGCCTGCGTGTGTGTTTGGGTGCGAGAGGGCGTGCATGTGGGCGGTCGGTCGGTCGGGCGGGCGGGCGTGCGTCGGTGCGGTGTGTCCGTGCGGCGTATCTGTGCGTGTGACTATGTGCTTCCGATTCTGCCCCTCTGTGTCTGAGGTTTGTCTTTGTGCATGGGTTTGTGCGCGTGTGTCTGCGTGTGTTCGTGTCTGTGCGTCTGTGTCTGTGGCAGGGTTTCTTCCGCTTTTTATTACGCGCGTCTTTATAAGCGTACGCGTGCTTGCGTATGTGCGTGCGCGCATGTCTGTGTCTCTGAGCCCTTGTGTCTGTGTGTTTGTGCCTATGTCTGTGTCTTGTGTCTGCGTGTCCGTGACTATTCTCAGGGTGTCAGCGTGTCTGTCTTTCTGCGTCCTTGTGTCTGCGCGGGGCCCGGGCCTGTCTGTACGCTTGCGTGGCTCTTTGCGTCTCTGCGTGCGTACGCGTGAGGAGCAAGCTGTTTTGCAAGAACCTACTGTTCACAGTCTTGCCTTGGCCAAGTTTAAAACCGCGAGGCAGCGTCAGTGCTTCAAACGTTCTTGGGCAATGTCAAAGAACATCTCCATCCCCATGGTGTGCGCGTGTATCACTTGTGCCTGCGTCTGTGTGCAGGCGTCTAAATTCGTGTCTGCACCGCGCGCGTGCGAAAGTTGTCCAAATTGTAGGTCCTTTCTAGAAGCGGCAGGCGCCTCAGTTGCAACGCGGTGCTTTCTTGGAAGCCACCGTTCACTTGCGCGTAGGTGATAGCCTTCCTGAAGGCTCGTGACCATCCGCTTGGCCAGGCAAGTCGCTTGCTTTGGCTTTCGTGTCTGGCCGCCCTGGGCCAAACATCTGGGGCTTGTCCCTGTTGGCTTTCCACTCTTGTCGCCCTCACGTTAATTTCGCTGGTGCGCATGTCGCCATCTCGGCAACATTGGCTTTGGACTGTGGGCTACAGACACTCTGCTTCCTTTGTCTTGCTGCTGCGGTAGGCAGGATGAGAAACGAAATGGCCGACCCAGATTTCAAGCATCCAACTGGAGATTTATTTAAGGGGGCCCCAGTGTTCATTCCCGCAATTTGTACTGAGCACCAGCAAGTTGTTGCCTTCTTTGTCCTTGGGGGGTCTTCGTTCAACTAGCAACAATTCCTGGTGATCAGGAGCCCCTAGTCACAGTTCCTTCTCCTTAGTTTTTGACATGCTCTGCGTCTTGTCACGTTCCTTGCGCTGCTGACCTTATTCGGCCATTGGTGTGTTCTTGGTATGTGTGTGTGTGTGTGCGTGCGTGCGCGTGCGGGCGTGTTTTCTCTTTTTTTTTGGCGCGCGGGTGTCTGCGTAAGCTCGTATGCAGTCTACATGCATGCATGTATGTGGCTATTTAAGTATTTTAAGTGTTCTTGTGTATGTACTATGCCAATACATATGTATATATGTGTGATATGTGTTTGTGTGTGCGGAGTTCCTGATCTACCCAGGAACCAGTTTTTCTTGCAGGGGGTCAGCGCACGACGCCATGATTGGCCAACGAAGCTGGTGGTATCGTGGGATGGGATTCGGGACGCCGAATCCTGTACCTGCGTTTGTTGTTGCTGGGGTCCTTTTGGTCCCCTTCTTTGGCCGCTGTGTGTGCTCCATGTTGGACCTTGTAACGTTTTCAGAAATTACCCACCTGGACCTTCAAACTCCGGGAAATTTCTGGGTGTTTCAGGAGACCCCTACGATTTACCGAATTCCAGTGGTTTAGCTACAATTTGGGCAAAAACACATACGAATTGCGTCGTTTCCAGTCGTGCATTGGCCATACAAAGTAAATTCACCTCGCAGCACTTGCCAACGTGCCAGTGAACCGCATGGGATGCCTTGATCATCAAAACTACGACTTTTTCTGATTTGCGGGAGTTTGCGGGTTTTTGCGGGAGATTTGCGGAAATTTGCGGGCGTTTTGCGGTCAAAATGGGTACGTTTTTCTGCACTGCACAACTTTGGACCGCCGTTGCATGTGTTGACAAACTTTCGGGCTGCTTTAAGTCGTTTACCCTGCAAAGCTTCTTTTAACCTGTCA